GTCTTTTTCTTTTTTTTTTTTTTAACCTGCATCACATTTTTCTGTATCCTTGTCAGTCACACCCTTTATGACACTTTGGCTTCCTCAGTTCCCCTGAGCTTTCCCTATGACTCTAATTAAGTTCTCCCTTTTTAAGGAGATGGCCCAGGCCTGGAGCTCGGATTCTGGAAGTTTCTTGGTCTCTCCCAAAGTGACCCCTTACAGTCCATTCTGAGGGAAACTCGGTCCCCAGCCATGTCTGCAGGTCTTGCCCACCTCGTACGGACTTGTCTGTCTCACAGGTGGAGGCTTTTGATTCAGATGTCATCTTCCGAGCTTATACACTGTCTCCTGTCAGCTCCATCATCAGCCCCAACCCATTGTCTATCTTCAAAAAATAAAATAAAATAACTTCTCTTCTGGCTGTCATTGATGATAACCACATGGGTCAGTGAGACCCAGCACTGCTTCCTTTCTAACTGTCTCCTCAGCTGAGCAGCAAGCACCAGCTTGAGCCAGAAGGGGTTCAAGTTCTCTGCCAGCCTTCTCACTGAGAACGTCTCAGAGACAGGCAGCCCGTTCTCATGTCGCCCGCAGCATGCCCCAAGCTGCTGCCATTTTTTACACCAGGAAAACAGGGAGAAGGGGTTCAGAAGTGGGAACAGCCTTTTTTTTTCCCTTGAGCACATACTTGCCAAAATGTTTGGAAATGTTTAGAAAATGCATAGTTCGATTTTTAAAATTATTTTTAAATCTTATTGTAGTGAAATATGTAACAAAAGTTTGCCATTTTAGCCATTTTAAAATGTACAGTTCAGTGACATTAATTGCACTCACCATGTTGTATAACCATCACCACTATTTATTTCCAAAAGATTTTTATCATCCCGAATAGAAACTCAGCTCCCGCTCAACAATCGCTCCCTTCCCTCCTCCCCCCTGCCTTTGGTAACCACTAATCAACTTTGGTTTCTATTGCATTTGCTTATTCTAGATATTTTATATTAAATGGAATTATACAATATTTGTCCTTTAGGGTCTGACTTCTTTTACTCAGTAAATGTTTTCATGATTCATCCATGTTGTGGCCTGTATCAGGACTTCATTTCTCTTTATGGCCGGATAATATTCCATTGTATGGATGATGGATGCACCACACTGTGTTTAGCCGTTCATCTGTTGATGGACGCTTGGGTTGTTTCCACCTTTTAGCTATTGTGAATAGTGCTGCACTGAACATTGGTGTACCAGTATCTGTTTGAGTCTCTGCTTTCAACTCTTTGGGGTATATACCTAGGAGCGGAATTGCTAGGTCACATGGTAATTCTATGTTTAACTTTTTGATGAACCGCCGAACTCTTTTCCACAGCAGCTGCACCTTTTCCATTCCCGCCCGCAATGCAGGACAGTCCCAGTTTCTCCACATCCTCCCCAATATTTGTTAGTTTTCGTTTTTCTGATAATAGCCATTTTCGTAGGTGTGAGCCACAACTTTTTACACGTGCGATTCAGTGGCGTTGATTACATTCATCATGTGCAATCATCACCACTGTCTCCACATTTTTTCCATCATTCTTAACAGAAGCTCGATAGTATTTTAATGGTTGGTTTCCTTTGTAATTCTTTGCATTTTTATTTTCTGCATTTAAAACCATTATGCTGAGAAGGGGCCCAAGTTTTGTTTTCTGTGCCAAGGTTACGCCACGCCCACCCCC